ACCTCTATTATAATTCATTAAAACTAAGCAAAATGCCCATTGACACAGCCTCCTGGTGTGGCAGCACCTCCTGTGTGGACAGCTGAGCCCTGCAGGTTCCCTCCAGCAGTGTTTCACCAGGCTTGGTGCTGGACTGTGAGTGTGAGCCATGTGTTAAATGCTGCTCTCCAGCTGGAAATTGTCTGAACCCCAGCTTGGGCTGCAAGCTGCTGCTTCATCCTAGTGCTGCACCCTCCTCTGGGCAGGGAGCTTTAACCCTATTGATACAAATGGTGTTTCCATGCATCAGGGATGATATTAAAGGTTACCAGTGGGTTTTGGAGAGTCCAGAGGCTTCATTCTCAGGTTTTGCTTCTGGGAGTTTCCAGTCTGAGGGAACTAATCTTAATCCGATTGCAATTTCTTGCCCTCTAAGCTTAACCTACTTTACCAGGCGTCGTGGTGGAGGTATTTATAGATGCTGGAAGTGCTCTTGGATGTAGCCCTTATCCTGCATTGCCAGTCACAGAGGTGGGTGTCTGCTGGTGCAGCTGGGAGCCACCTCCCAGCCCCAAATCATGCAGATGTCTCACTGAAATATTGTCTAGTATGATTGTTTTGCCATGGAGTGTGTTCATTACAGTGGCCAGTAATCCTTCCAGAGTCCTGGCTGCTCTAGGCTTGTGTATTTGTACTCCTTAGTTGGAAGCACACTTGTGAATGTGAATTATGGCTAAATCCTCTTTCTAGTGAGGTGACTCCTAAAAAATGAGCATACTTAGCTTACTCCTGCAGAGCAAAATCATCATTTCAGATTTGAATGGTGACTCTAGGATCATGTGAAATTGAAGGTTTCATTGAAGGGCTAAAAATGTCAGTAGCAGACAGATGCACTGGAAATATTTGTACCCTTTAATGTGAATTTCTGTAGTTGCAGCTCTTAAAACTCATAAGCCAAACCCTAGGCCTCTTCTTTAATCCAGACTCCTTAAGTAGAACTGCATGATGTGTTGAAGTTCTTCAGGTTTTGTTCCAAAATTTGACTACATTTTCTTGAGAAATAGTTTATCTTGAGTGTAAGACTGGAAACCTCCTTTAGTCTCAAATTAGTTGTGCTGGTGTTGGAGTAGATCCATGAGCAAGGCTGGAAAGGAAGGAAATAGAAGTGCAGGATGGAAGGTTGGAAGGGTCTGTGAGCAGGCAGAGCTGTGCTAACAGCAGCAGGAATAACCAGCTGGAAATCCTGGGAGCTTTCAGGATGTCAGCAGCTGTGGGGATGCAGCTCTGAACGCAGGTAAATGTTCTTTGCTGTCTCTACATCAAAGCAGGCATTTTGTTAGCAGACAAGATACAGCAGTTTGGTTTTTTAAAGCTGTTGGAAGAGCAGAGATCTGTGTTGTTTTTGGGGTTTTTTTTCTCATATCTCACCTTAGAGTTTGCACTAGTTTTGCTTGGAATTACCTTGGAAGAAATCAGAGCTGATAGTTTTCTATTAAGAAAATTACCTCGAGCATTAAGCTCGATTTCCAAATGGACATAAATAATCCATTTTTTCCCCATTTCCAAATTACCTCGAGCATTAAGCTCGATTTCCAAATGGACATAAATAATCCATTTTTTTCCCCATTTCCTCTGTCTTTTTGTTGATGTGTTTTAATATTACAAGGAAGAGGTAGAAAGATTGCACGGTTCATTACAGATCCATTGACTTTCCTTCCTGCTGTTTGCTGTCACAGCTTGTGTTTCTGTGGTTGTATGTCTTTTTTTCCTGGTTACAGTAAGGAGAGTGCAGATTTGATTCCTGGTGTATCATCACTCCACAAGCAGAGAGTGACCTCAGCATCTGACCAGAGAGAATATTTACCTGTGCACTGTGACTCATTTGAACACTGTGACCTGTGCTCCCTTGACCTTGCTCAATCAAGAGGTTGATCCTGCAGAGTTGAACCGAGTGGAAAATGTTTTTACAGGGATCAGTTTGTACCCTTGCAGGATAGAAACCTTGGGGAAATCCATTAAACTACTGCTGTTTTGAAAATCTTACTGCTTGAAAAGGGAGTATTTTGTTCTGTGTAACCTGAACATGGGAAGCAGTGCTCTTGAGGTGTGGCATGCAGGAATGGTGGTGAGGAAATTTTAGGAAGAAGCTGGAATTGCTTTCTCCAACAGGAGGTGACTCAGAGGCTTGGAGAAATGGCCAAGGGTGTCCTGTACCAGCCACAGCATGTCCAGCAAGACCAGGAGAGACAGTCCCTCTCTGCTGGGTGCTGCTGAAGCACCTTGAATCCAACATGACAAGACAAACTTTGAGGGGCTGGAGCATGCCCATGGAAGGGCATGGAGCTGGGAAATGTCTGAAGCTCCAGGAGCAGCTGAGGCAGCTGGGAAAGGGGCTCATCCTGGAGAAAAGGAGGCTCAGAGGGGACCTGGTGGCTCTGCACAACTCCCTGGCAGGAGGGGGATGTCGGGATTTGCTCCCAGGGAACAGGGACAGGAGGAGAGGGAACGGCCTCAGGTGTGCCAGGAGATATTAGGATATTAGGGATAATTTCTTCAGCTGTCAAGCATTGGAAAGGGCTACCCAGGGGTGTGGTGGAATCCCATCTCTGGAGGTGTAAAAATGTGTGGATGTGGTGCTTGAGGCCATTGTTTGATGATGAACAAGGTGGTGGTGCTGCAGTGATGGTTGGACTCTGTGATCTTAGAGGTCTTTCCAACCTTAATGATTTTGTGATTCTGTAAATCATAGAAGTCCTAGGTGAAGTAAAAATAGTAGTGCACAATCTAGCTGTGGAGGAATACTTCTGGCCTGCATGTGACCTGCTGGACAGCTGTTTCTTGTTTTGTGAAGGCTGGTTGGCTGTGGTGGTGCTGAAGGGGCCTCACAGTGATGAGAACTTAACTGCAGAGCCAAGTGCTTGGATAAAATCTGGTGACGGATAGCAGCACATAAATAATTCTGTCCTTGGCCTCGCACCCATTCACAGTGCAGCAAGGAACAAGGGCTGCCGTGAGCCCAAATTTTTCTGAGGCTGTTGTGTAGGTGCTTTTCCCAATGTTCATTTTGGCTGTCATCTATGGAATGCCAAGGGCTGTGCATTGTAAGACACAAGGCATCACTCCTGGACCTGAGTTCCATGCACAGGAATTGCTGGTGGTGGAATGATGACATTCTTTTAAAAATTGTTTTGAGGACACCACCACCACCATTACCACTTTAAAGCTGGGATGATTTGCAATAAAGATTGCTATCCTTATGGGTAGATTAATTTATTTACAACCAGAAAGCTATTTTTGGCTGTCTTTTTTTTGTTCTTGGAGAGCAGCCTAACATAGGATACAATCCTGTTTAGATTCCTTCAAAACATAAGGTAGTACTTGCTACTTCTGCTCAGCCAAAATCTGGGCCATCCTGCTTTCAAATATGGTCTGGATTTGATATAACCATTAACATGCAGCTGAGCAAACCCAGTGGTCACAGTTGGGAAGACCAAAAGTCAAGAAACTTCATAATTTCAGGTCTGGTGTTAAGGATTACCCTAATTTGTGAAAAAGTTATCTATTCCAGAGTTAGTTTTGGTTTCTTCTGAATAATTCTCTCTCCCATAGTCTTTACTGTAAAAGTTCTCAGAGAAGTAGGTGTTATAATGGTGGATGATGAGAATTATGTGTTAAGTTAGCAGAACCTTTAGAAGACAATCTATACAGGGTGGATATTTCAGCGGCACATTTTTGGCAGTTTTGGTTGCACAGCTTTGGTGGTTGTGGGCATTAGTGAATTCCAGAAGCACCATAATCCCCACCCCTCTTTGTTGTAGTGAGGCAGGCTGGTCTGTAATGAACCTGTGTGTAGCAAAATCACAGCTAGACTGCATCTAAAGGGGCTCTTCTGCCTCCAGTTAGAACCATGTGTCTGCAAGGAATAGAAACGTGGAGTCAAAAGTCTTTTCCAGGATGAAACTCAAGGTTTGGAGTCCACAGCTGAAGCTGTGGAAGGCTGCTGGGAAGCACAGTTTGCTTTGGCTCTCCTCAGACTTTGCTTCATTTGAGTCTGTTGTTTCACTTACAGTACATTTCCATGTGATCTGTGCTGGATGGAAATTCCTGGCATTTCTCAGGATGTTCGTTTTTCCCAGTCACATTCCTTGTTCATCAGCTGAGCAGAAACAAACCATCCTGTTTGCTTCCCAGCGGCAGCCTAAGCCTCTGTATTTGTTGGATTTGCAGAAAATCCAGCGTCAGATGGTGGATTGACATAATTGAAACTATCCTTAGAAACGTACTGGGATTGAAATCAGTAGAACAATATTAAACTGTGATACAAAGTGTTCTGTCCCTGGGTAAAAACAGGAAGAAACTTGGTGCATAAAGTTTACAAATAACGAGAATAGGAGCAGGCTGCGAAGAGATTTTCTGATGAGGGTTTGTAGTTAATTGTATCAGTTTTAATCTTGGATATGTCAAGTCCCGTGTTCTCCTGAGCTGTATAAACATTGCTGTGAGATATGGAAAATCTTCCAACACAATGTAACAGCCCTGGACAGAGGCTGGGGTTTCAGGCATGTGAACAAAACATACTCCAAGGATAATAGAAGGAATCCCTGGACCCCAACAGCCATCCTGTGCTTGGGGTTCATGTAAAAGACATCCCAAGGTGCCCTTTCCCTCCTCAGAGCCATCCCCCAGGCTGTGCCCATGGCTGTACATGGAGGATGCTCAGCCCTGGGCTTGGAGGTGGTGGCTGCTGGAGCCCTGGCAGGTGATCCAGGTGCTCCAGCTGCCACAGGAGCTCTGTGGGTGCCTTGCTTTGGCAGCTGCCTTGGAATGAGCTGGGGAGGACCTTGGTATGAGAGCTGACTCTGTGTCACCATCCCCGTGTCCTAACACAAGCTGTGATTTGCTAATGTTGTAAAATGTAAAATCCTTTTCTTACAAGATGTCATTTTTTTTTCTGTTTATTTCCAGATGCTCTCAATATTTTGTGCTGACAAAAAGTTCACTTTATGTTCATTGTCTCCCAGGTAAACGCAAAGCGCTGAAGTTAAATTTTGCAAATCCACCTTTCAAGTCCACAGCAAGATTTACTCTAAATACTTCTGGAGTTCCTTTCCAAAATCCACACATGTGAGTATAAAGCCAATGGCACAACTAGTGGAACAGCTTTGAAATGAATTAGCCAACACCCAGTGTTAGTTAAATGCAATTTGATGAGTCCAGTTATTTGTCAGTTTGTTTAAATCTCTCAGTTTTGAGTCACTGTAAAATATATTTTCCCAGAATTTAAAAAAAAAAAGAGGTTAAATTGGGATCTTCTTGGTTTACACTGGAGCTAATGCCTTCCAGAATTGATTGAATTGAATATTGTAGCTGATAATGCTAGATACACCTGTAATTAATATCTAGACTGATTCACTGTTGTTTTCCTGTATCTTTATTCAGTTTATTACTTTTTGTTAGAATTTCATGTTTCTGTGTTACTTGTGGAAGTCATAACTGTGATAGAATTGTTTTCAGCACTAAAACAGACAAAGGTTGAGGATTATCATTTTAGCAACGGGAGATGTTAGGGGAGTTATGCAGAGATTAAGTCTCAGTGAGTATTCTAGCCAATTTAGCCCCGGGATATCCCTGTCCAAAGTCTGAGAGCAAGTGTGGCCAGAGCTGTTCCTGACTCTAGTAAATACCAGGGTACATCAGCACCAAAAAGATCAGCTTTGTATCCTCAGATCCACCAATCTAGCTGGACAGTGCTGCTCTGCAGCTGGTCCCTGTGGCAGATGCAGCAAGCATGCAAAATATGTCCCACATTTTTCTTCTCGAAGGTCTCAGGAGTTTTGTCAGTGTCAAGTCTCAGAATCTGCACCTGCAGCCTCCCTGCTGCCTGGGCTCTCTGGAGTGTCCTGTCATGGGCTGCTCCTGCTTGGCTCTGCATGTCACTGCCTCTCTCCTGGAGCTCAGTGCTTTCTGCTTCCCCAGGACTTACCTGCTGGGCTCTGTTCCTGGGAGCTTTGGGGATTTTCAAACGAGCTTTTATCAAGTTAGGAACATGTTTCTGATGAGTTATTGATGGTAATTACAATAATAATTGTATAGAGTACTTTAGATTATTCTGAAAATTTTGAGTGACCTGTCCAGCAAGTCCTCCTCTTTCCTTCTCTCTCCTCTCTGACATAGAGTATTTTTATTGGTTATAGACCTCAGATTTAGATACTTAATTTTTCAGTCTCGTTACATCATCAAACTCTTGTTAAGATTTTCTGCAAAACACCTTCTGGGTCTCTTTCATCTCTCTGACCTTGTTAGTCCATTAAATAAAGGACTTAGTCTCAGCTAGTGAGTCCCCACCATCAGCCATCTATGGGGATTTGAATTTTCTGTGCTTACCTGTGCAGATTTCTGTCTCGGATTCACTGGAAGTCACAGTGGCTCCAGTCTAGCACAGAAGAGCTTTCGTTGTTAGTCTGTGACATCTTAAGTTTCATGTTTGTGCAATGATTGTCAACACTGTGCAAGACAGGTGCTGCTCTTTCTCTGTGGGAGTTGCAGTTGTTGGCAGGGATTGGATCCTGGGCTGGTTAATGGAGCTGGTTAATGGTCTGAGGGTCCTGGGTTGGATGTGATTGCTGTTCCAGTGCCACAATTGATGGTGACATGTCTGTGCTAAAGCTTTCTTGGGGGGCTGCAAGCTGTAATGGCCATTTCTGTTTGAAAGAGATGGATGCTCTTGGCTTGGTTGCTTTCTCTGTGGTGCAGTTGGCTGAGCTTGGATGCAGCAAATTGTCCTCGTGTCCTTTGTGTGTCCCTAGCAGATGCTGTCCCTCAAAAGGAGTGTTGACATCTTCTCATTGCACGCTTCTGTCGAGTGTTTGTGTGGCAGCTGATGTATCTCCGTCTCCTGCCTTCTTCCCTGGGATCCTGGAATGACTTTTTCCTCAGTAGGCCAGAAGCCTTTCCTAGACTTTGGATTTGAGCTGGATATTTCACACTCCTCACCCAGACGAGTTCCTGATGCAGTGTGTTTCTGTTCACCAAGCCACTTCTCAGCCTGGGTGTCCTCCCAAAATGAGCACTGGCTCCACACTGCTGGGGATTGTCCTGGACAGGCCCTGCTGGTGCAGATGGGTGGATCTGAAGATACAGAGAGGTTCATTTCTCACATGAAATTTTGTGTTCTCTGGTTTGGATCCACCGATCCAGGGGTGTCCTGTTGCTTCTGCCCAAGATGGTGTGTTGAGCAGCAGAAAGCGAGGCAGGGGTTTGGGAGGAAGGTGCAATTCTGTCATTGCACATGGTGGAGGAGGTGTGTCTTGTTTGGTTCAGCTGGAACTGCTGCCAGCAAATCTTCTTGAGAAGTGCAAAGAGATTTTCATCTCGGCATGATATGTTTCATGCCTGTCTGTAGGGCATCCAGCACAGCTGTAAACATAATTTTACATGTGATCTGTACAGGGTAAGACAGAATAGAGCCTCAATTACAGGCAGTAGTTGGGGAATATAATTAATACTTGAAAGGATGGAGTCTAGAGAGGAGGTAAGGGTTTTAGTGGTGGAAGGATGGAGTTCTGTCAGTGAGGCTGTGTGATTACTGTGCAGGCTGGGGAGCAGTCGGGGCTGTGGAGACCTGCCAGGTTAGCCCACAGCTCCTGTGAGTTCAGGCTGACTTTGTCACTTAGACCAGATTAACAGCTGCTAACTTTGTTTTCCCTGCAGCAGACGTTGCAGAGGCTGGAGGACACAAGCCATGGTTAGGGTGAGCTCTTCAAATTCCAACCCATTATACCAACTGGAAAGCATCCCACCTTTTACCTCATCTGTCCTGTGTCCAAGTAGGATTTAGGTCACAAACAAAATTAGATTACTCCGTTATCTGTGTGGAAACTTCACAGAGCTGCTTGCAGCTGGTTGCCTTTGCTAAAAGGAAGTTCAGATCACGCTAACAGGAGTGATGTGGTGAGGTGTGACTGTGGCTGTGCATGGCAGGATTTCTGGCTGGGCTGTGCTGCCCATTGCTCTTGAAACCAAGATGGAAACCATTTGGCTGTGGATGGGATTTTTGGTTGTGTGGAAAGCTTTGTATTCTTGTGCAGTGATACCTGGATGTTGACTTGGAGGATTTAAGTTGACCTGCTAGGAGATGGGCAAGCACAGGGAATGTTGTTTGGCACGTGGTTGACAGCATGCTGCCTCTTGAGTGTTCTGTCTGCTGCCTGGGAAGTCTCTTGACTCTCAGAGCTGCCACCTCTTGAGAACCTGATTACCAGAGCACTGCAGCTTCACCTGGAAAGGTGACAAAATGAGCTAATCTCTCTTACTGTACAAATTTGATGTTTGAAGTGTCTGGTGTCCAGCTGAACTCCACAGTCTCCCTATAGCTTGTGAGTGTCTTGATGGATTTATTGGGATTTAAGCTTTCCAGAGCTGCCCTGCATGGAGTTTCTCCTCGTGACACCCGGGAGAGTCACACACTTTCCAGAGAGCTGCCCCAAGAGTATGTTGGGTGTTCTACTGGATTCTTCAAAAGCCAGTGGAGGTCCAGATGCACATCAGACTGTGCTGCTTCCTTTTTTTCTTTATAGTTCAGGAACTGTTATTCCTGGAAGGGTTTTTTTCTGGCTGTTCCAAAGCCTCTCTGAGGTGTCTGTTTCTCTTTTAATCTCCTCTTAGGCTTTCCCATACCCTTCTGGCATGTGGGGTCATGCTCTGTAGCTGCATAGCCTGCAACTGGTGGAGTTTTTTAGGAAGTAACCTGTGAGAGTTCCTACCAGTTTTGAAAAAAAACCCCAAAACCTAAACACAAAGGGGAATATCCTCAACTGGCATGCTTCCTACTACTGCTATGAATTTTCCTGTAACTATTTCTGTCTTTTCCTCATTTCTGTAATTGTCACTTCACATCTTTATTATTCCTGATTTCTGTTACCTTTCTGCTGTGTGATACCTTCCTATGGCAGGGAGTGCTGTCTGGAAGCCTTGGAGACAGAATTTAGAGTTGAAGGTACCAAGAATTTGAATTTTTTTCTGTGACTGATTCTGTCTCGTTTCCTGAAAGTTGCAAAATCTGGATGTAATCACTTGTATTTTCAAGTCAGCACAAGTGAAATGCAACCTTCAAGGCCTGAGCAGAGACATCTCAGTGTCTGAGGGAGCCTGTGGTAACCAGGCTTTCACTTCTCACACAAACATCACTGTCGGTTCAGTGCTGGAACAATGTTTCTTCTGTAATTTTTTCAGGAGCATTTTTTGCAAATTGATGGATTTTGCCTTGTATTTAACCTTCCTCTTCCTTCCGAGAGTTTACGAGTTCATTTGGCCAGTGATCTCTGCATGACAGAGATTATGTGGTCTGTAACACACTCAAGTATCTCTGGCTCTGAGTAGGTCACTGCTTCAGAGTAGGTGCTGCCAGAGTCAGTGTGAGATTTTCACTGAATGTGCTGCTTTAAGGTCTGTTTTATTCTTTTTTTTTCCCTAACTTTCTAAGTTTTTGGTATTGCTTAAATGTAGGTCTTCTCTGCAAAGGAGCTTTTTGCTGTCTGCAGCTTCCAAATTAAACTTCTCTAGCAGCTTCCACGTCCCTTGGAGCTTCACTGCCCTGGTAGGACTGTTCTCTTCTTTCTGTAAAGGTTTGATATCCCAGCATTCTGCTTCTGACTTGAGTCCTTCTGTGTCTGGAACCAAAATTTGCACCATGTGTATCTCCATTAAGCCAGTTCACATGAATTTTTCAAGGGTGCTGAGCACCTGCCTTCCTGCCACACTGCAGGGCTCCTCAGAACTTCTGGAAACTGGTGAGCCACCCTTGGGTGTCTGAATCAAATCCAGCCTGATGTTATGTAATGACCTGACTCCCATGGGTTCCAAGTGCTTCACGGGTGCTGAGTGATTGAGCTGTGTAATTAGAAATTGTTGCACAAATTCTGCATTCTCCCTCCTGTGGATGGGAAGCTGGCTCATGCTGTCTTTTGGAAGAGGCAGAGTTTAGGCAGGGAGTTCATCAGGGATCTCTGGTCTGTGATCCATAGGTACCTCTGTGTTACCTGTCCCATCTGGGCATGGTTGGGAGGTGCTGTCCTGGTTCTTGGGCACACAGCCATGGTCTGAGCTGCTCATCTGGGGGCAGAATT